GCCCTCAGGAGAGGATGCCAGGACACATCCTTCTTAACCTAAGATGGCCCGTCGTGTAGACAGTTCCCCCATGGGCAAAGGAAGGGGCCTCCTCTCCTCTCAGACCTTCGGGGTCCCCTGCCGTGGGTGGCCCCAACAACCTCAGGCCTGTGGAGGAGCATGGGGCATCCAGAACCTTCTTACTGGCCCTGATGTTGTGGCCACTATAAACAGCTTTGCCCCAAAGGCCTTGTTGACGAGGAAGGAGCCACAGGAGAGTGGCCAGCAGAGGGCCTGGCCTGTGAGAGGGGCTCAGATCCCAGGGGCCTGGAGGGGCAGCAGCCACAGGCGCAAGGATGGCTGAGGGCTGTGATCCAGGAGTGCACAGTGTGAGGGGGCTGGATCCACAGTGGGGGGTCTTCCCTCCCCACCTAGGAGGAAAGCCCAACACTGCCCACCCCCATACCATGGGCCCTGCCTCTACCCACCAGGAAGATGCCCCAGACACCTGGACCTCGACGCAACCGGGGGACTCCCTAGGGACAAGCAGGGAAATGACCAGTGGCCCTAAGTTGTCCCTGTCCAGATTCTCAGCGCCACCATGGCCAGCCTCAGTGACCAGGATCAGAAGACCCTCTGTGAAGACCTCCGTGACATGGGTTGACCAGTGAACACACACACAGTGCACACACACGCAGTGCACACACTGGCATACAGAAGGCCAGATCTCGGGGGTGTTAGGGTTGCAGATATCCTCCAGGGTCCAGGTGGGGCAGGAGAAGTCCACCCAGGGCTGCAGGTCCAGCACTGTCACTCCATTTGACCCAAGTGACACCTTCCCCCCGTGCACTGGGGTCCTCTGAGATTCACTGGACCCAGGAGCCCTGCTGCTCCCCTGCCGTGGTGACCGTTGAAGCAGAGGTGCCCTGAGTTCCTCCACCATTGATCTGTTCCTCTGGCCAGCGATTCCCGTGTGTGGCCGGCCACCAGCACTCACTGGCTACCACAGTGGGGGGCAGGAAGCCTGGCACTGGAATTTAGTGGGGAGGGCTTATCTGCACTCTTCCTGGGGTTGGGACAGAACTGCTGTCTTGGACTCAGGGTCCCCTGAGTTCAAGACCTCCAGGCCAGCCATGAGCCCAACCCTCAGCTGGCATGACAAGGCCAAACAGACAGGACAGAGCGCTGGGCCCTGGGAAGGGTGGAGCTGAGAGGCTCAGTGCATGGGGCTCTTTCCTCAGCCTTAGGACCCAAGGACCCGTCCCCAACAGACACACACACACACACACACACACACACACACACACACACTTACCTGTGAGAAAAGACAGAGAAGGTAGAAACCTGAGCCCCAGGGGCAAAGCTCCCACACGTGAAACTGGCTTGTCCAGTGCTGGGGTCAGGGTGTGCAGGGGTGAGGGCTCACAGGGGTAGACCTGCCAATCGGGGGTGACCAGTGGCCAGCCTGCCCCAGGACTCCTACAGAACTGGCTTCTGCCAATCCCAGAGTGGTACGAGATCCCTGCAGACGTGCCCGCCGCCCCACCACCTGGAGGGAGGCAAGATGCCCCAGAGCCCTACATAGCCGGGTCAGGGGCCAGGCCTGACAGTGGTGAGGGCTGGGGTGCCCCACATGGAGCGACCACTGCCTCAGGCGTGCCTCCACCTTCAAAGGCCGGGCTGGTGGGGATGCCTCGTCTCTGCTTCTCTTCCACGGGCATGAGAGCACCCTGGGCCTGTGGCGACCGAAGCCTCGGGCAGGAGCCTCAGGAAAGACAATATGGAGTCAAGGACAAGCCAGGGGTAGTAGGGGGGGAGCACCTTCCCCAGAAGGAGCCGACCCCCAGGGAGTCTGGGCCTAGAGGATTTCCAAGAGGGCCCAAGGCCCTGGGACAGAGGGGAGAGGCCTCCCAGGTCAGGAGCAACATGGGGGCCAGACCAGGGCTCAGGTGAGGCGAGGGAGGCACCACAGGGCACCAAAAACTCAGTAATGACATCCATCGACAGATGAATGGATACACAAAATGTGGTGGATCCATATAGGGGAATATTACCATCAGTAAAAAGGAACGAAGCACTGACACACGCTACAGCGTGGATGAACCTTGGAAACGCGCTCGGTGGAAAAAGCAAAAGGACAAACACCATAGGATTCCACTCATGGGAAAGACCTAGGCTATTCAAATGCACAGAGACAGAAAGTAGACTGACGCTTGTCAGAGGTCCAGAGAAGGGGAAAATGGGGGTACGGGGCCTCTCTTGGGGGTGATGAAAATGGTCTGGAATTTTATAGAGGTGATGGTTGCACAACCCTGTGAACATACTTAAAAACAATGACACGTACACCCTGAAATGGCCAGCTTTACAGCACATGAACTATATCTCAATGAAGCCGTCAAAAACAAACTTGGTCATCAAGGTAACTAATATTTTAATGCACTCTTAAAGAATCAAAATTAATGAGAAAAATCCGTTATGAGCAACACATCGCAATTCTGAATCAAGGCAGGAGCAGAAACAGTGGTGAGCCATCTGGAGCCTTGAGGCCAGAGAAGCTCTGGACGGCTCACCTGTCGGCCTGGTGCCCCTTAAAGTCACAGCCCTGGTAGGCACCTGGTCAGCCTGGTGGACACAGCTGCCTCTGTGTCCCTCCAGGAACCTCCAGGCCCCAGGCCTACATCCTACCTGGGTCCTCACCCGAGGCTCAGGAAGGGGGTCAGAGGGGGCGGTGGGCTGGGGGTCGGGCAGACAGCAGTAGGAGAGAGGGCTGGAAGCAGGGGGGCATGAGAGGGTCCCAGGAAGGGGCTGTTGAGTGTCCTGGGGCGACCATAACAAATGACCACAAACTGGGGGCTTCAAACGACAGAAATAGATTCTCTCAGTCTGGAGGCTGGAAGTCTAAAACTGAGGTGTCAGCAGGACCGGGCTCCCTCCAAAGGTCTAAGGGAGGACCCTCCCTGCCTCTTCCAGCTCCTGGCGGCCCCAGGTGTTCCTTGGCCCATGGTCATATCATTGCAACCGCTGCCTCTATCCCTCCGTCGCCACATGGCCTTTCACTCTTCTCTGTGTCTCTCTTCTTATAAGGAACCAGTCACTGGATTAGGGCCCATCCTAATCTAGTGTGACCTCATCTTAAGGGTCACATTGGCAAAGACCCTATTTCCAAACAAGCTCCCATTCAAGGTACTGGGATTAGGACATGGACATATCTTTTGTGGTAAAGGACACAGGGGCAGGGCCATGGGGATGGCCAGCACCTCTTGAATCCTTCCTGTAATAACCCGCATCAGTATTTCTGCACGAAAGGCTGCCCTGGATTCAGCCCACAAACCCACATGCTCGGCACCAAAGTGCAGGGCCCCAGGGACCCCCCTGCCTGCCGGGACCTCACCCCCCAGCGGACTTCCCCAGCCCACCCCTTTCTGCTGCACGGGGATGTGGTCCCAGCCTGGGGTAGAGGCAGGGAAACAGATGTCCCTTGTTGTAATCACGCTTCCCCACCCCCACTTCTGTGTGCACGGGAGGGGTGCCAAGGGGAAATGCTGTCCCCCACCCGAACTTGCCCGCAGATAGGCCCCAACCTCAGGCGAACCTCTCCCCCACAAGCCCACCCACCACAGCTGTGCTCTGCAAAGTGGGGGTGAGAGGGGTTCCAGCATTTGCCAAAAAGACCTCAGAGCAGGTGCACCTGCCAAGGGTACCCGGCCTCCCCAGGAACGGGAAGATGCTGCCTGGCGTTCTGAGCCAGCCAGGGGGAGACGCCATGCTCTGAGGAGGCTGTGGCTTGAAAGAGCTTTGTCCTTATATAAAAACGGCTCCCTGGAAAAGAAGAGCTAATTCCTCTTAGGTGTCTAGTACTCACGTCATGGGGCAGGGCTGGGCTGCGGGTCTCTGCAGGGGTTTCCAGTCTGCAGCAGGAGGGCCGAGAGCCCACCAGCCCCCCTCCCGCGAAGTTGTTCCAGGCAGGCCGGGGTGGGGGGCAGTGCCAGCCCCTTGAGGGCCCGAGAGACCAGAGTGTCCCAAAGGGACAGTGCCTGCCGTGCCTGGGCACAGGGGACAACGGTATCCCCAGAGCTGTGAGCTGGTCCCCGTGGCCTCTCCAGGCCAGCTCAGCCCAGAGGGGGGCCGGTAAGCTAGGGCCAGGGCTTCAGGAGAGGAGGGGTGGCCCAACTCTGAACCGAAATGAAACGGGAGGGACTGCCCAGGGGACTGGCCATCTGTCAGCTCCGGGCAGGTGCTGGTCCAGGAGCCCGCCCACCCGTTCCCCAGCCCTCGCTTCATGGCCTGGGCAGGGGTGGGCACGGATAGGGCCTTCTGGAAGGTGCCGGCGGAGGGGGTGCTCAGATAACATAAGCCATTTTAACGTGCACAGCTCCGTAGCGTTTAGTGCATTCACGATATTGTGCAGCCGTCACCTCTATCTGTTCCAGAACATTCTCATGACTTCAAAATAAGCCCTGTACCCGTTAAACAGTAACTCCCCATTCCCGCAGCCCCACGGCAAACACCAATCTGCTTCCTGTCTCTATGGATTTGCCTCTCCTGGACATTTGATACCAATGGCATCACAGACTATGTGGCCTTTTGTGACTGCCTTTTTTCACTCATTGTGGGGCTGTCAGGGCTCATTCGTGTTGGAGAGCGTCGGTGCCTTGCTCCTTTCATGCGGATAACATTCAACTCTATGGACAGACGTGTTGAGAGATGTCCCTGCTGCCTGCTGGGGACCAGAGTGCAGGGCAGGTGTGGGTGTGCAGGGGGCGCAGGGCACCCAGCCTCGGCTGGAAATCTGTAGGGTAACCCTTTTGAAGGGGAACGTGGCAGGACCATGGAAACTTCCATCATTCATCCTGGTCCTCCCACTCTGGTCTCCCACAGTGTCTCTGATGACAAAAGCACTGGGACCTGGGACTTCCCTGGTGGTCCAGTGGTTAAGACCCTGCACTCCCACTGCAGGGGGCACGGGTTTGATCCCTGGTCGGGGAACTAAGATTTCACATACCGCGTGGCATGGCCAAAAAGAAAGAAAGAAAGAAAAGCACTGGGACCTGCTCCGGGTCCAGCAGCAGGTGGTCAGTCAAGGAACTTACTAGAACATCCTCAGCCTGCTGGCCTAACACACAGCGGTCTTACGTCACGGCAGAGTGTGGCGACACATGATAAACTTTTGTGCAGAGAAAGCAGACCTCAGAGCTACAGGAGCGCCATGTAAAATGACGGGGGCAGAAACCCCTGCAGGGGACAGCTGGTGATGGAGGGCTGGAAAGAGGCTGCACAGACGTCTGCACCGTCAGGGGCACCACTCTGTAAAATACTGAGGCCGAGAAAGTGAATGGACAGTGAGCCGTTCCCCTCCAGGTGGGCCACGGCCAGGGGGGGCTCTTGGTGATGTGTCCCTCTCTGGTCCCCCGTCCTCACCCTGGTGACTGCCCTGTGAGGGCCCTTCCCAGGGAGAGAGACCAGCCCCGCCCGGGGTCACACAGCCCTGCACCTTGTGCCTGCAGGAGTCATCCTGCCTGACGGAGACCTCCCTCTCCTCCCCTCGCCTTGACAGCCAGCCCTGGCATGGCTCCCAGCCCCCCACAGTGACCGAGGGACAAAGGACAGCTGCCCAGCCTGACTTCACGTCAGAGGAGGCCCAGTCGTCCAGTCTTCTGCTGCCATCTCGGACACGCTGGCAGCCTGTACCCCCTGGGCCATCTCCTGGACCGCCGCCCCTTCTCACCCCCACGAGGCCAGCAGGCAGGGTGGGACCTCTTGCGACAGAGAGCAAGTCTACTCACTCGGCAATGTCATCACTCTCCCTACCCCCACCCCAGGCTCGGGGAGGCCAGGCGCTGCTAATGGTCAGTCTGCCCAGCCTGGTGTGGACGTGCCAAGTGCCAACGAGCCCCTGGGGGCGGCCAGTGCCAGGCTGGAGTACCCAGGAGAGGAGGTAGGACAGCTGCAGCCCCAAGATGTAAACAGGCCGAGCGGCTGCAGGTATAAAAGCTGGAGCCCCCGCAGCCTCTCAGCACCCCCAGCCTGACCCGCCTTCCCAGAGCCCTCGAAGAAAGCCAGGCGAAGGTGAGCCCTGCCCGGGGAGGGGTGGTGTGGGCACCCAGCCGGGCCAGAGCTGCCCGAGCTGCATGGCAGGGGCTTGGGCCTCGTCTTTTGCTGGACAAGGGGAGGCCCTGGGTGCTGGTGGAACCCCAGGGAGGTCTAGGAGAGGAAGAAAAAGAGGAGGAAGGAGAGGGGCAGCCCCAAGGTAACTGGGTCTGCAGGGGTGGGCACGTGTGCACGCATGTGCCTAGGCAGGCCTCCGAGAGCATGGCTGCAAGCTGGGGTCACTAGGGGGAGGCTGAGGCCACCTCACAGGGCTCCCAGTGCTGAGTGGGGGAAGGGCCTGGCAGAACAGAGGCTCCAAGGCCCCCAGACCCACCAACTCTGGCAGGCATGCTGAGCCAGCTCTGGGCCCACATGCCCAGCCCCTGTCCCAGTGGGGCCCCAAGGCCTCCATCACCCCTTCCCACCTCCCTCCAGCCCATGAGGCCTTTTTCTCACTGAGCATCTGAAGTTGGTGATTCAGTCTCAGGTGCTAGATGCAGACCACAGCCCCCAGGAGGGCCACATGGGCGGTCCAGAGTGGTCTGGGGACAGGGGAGGGCCCTGCCAGCCTTGGAAGGGGCACAGAGAACACAGCAATACTGGGCATACGTGGGGGTCTGCGGGGGGGCGGAGCCAGGCCTTAAAGCTATGACCAGCTTTGGCTATGGAAGGCAGTGAGGGGGGAGGAGAGGGAGGAAGGCCTTCTCAGGGGGAAGGGCGAAGAGGGCAGGGCCCTTCCAGGCGCTGGGGGCACCCCAGGAGGTGCCAGGCAGCCCCCTCCCCACCCCCCTCCCCGCTTCGTGCCCTGACTAGGTGTGCCAAGTGAGACTCCATCCCAGGCCCTGGACCAGGTGCTATAAATACACCAACCATGGCCTGAGGCCCAGGCCCTGCCTCTCCTGCTGTCTCCAGCTCTGATCTCAGGCTCCCCTGCCTTCATGGGGGGTGCGGATGCCCCGGGGAGCAACTGGGTGGGAGCAGGGTGGTAAACAGCCCAGCACAGGGCGCCCACAGCACTCTGCAGTCAGGATGTCAACCCCAGGCTTGGCCAGACCTGGCCTGGAATTTGGCCCTGTCCCTCTTCCATAAAGAGGGTGACATTGGCCCTGGGCAAGGCCCCGAGTGGCAGGCAGGGAATCCCTTCCCTCCAGAATGGACCCCATGATTCCAGCGTATAGAGGGGAATCACGGTCTCACCATGGGATGCAGGGTAGTGGGGTCTGTTCTGGGCCTCCAAGGCCTGGGCCTGCCCTTGATCCCAGCTGACCACCCCCACCCCACCTCCCAGACTGGCTGCAGGGACTTGTCATTATGGGTGACATGCACCACAGGATCCAACACCCTTTCCCCCCCATCTCATTCCCTCATGGCTCCTTGCATGACCCTGCGAAGGGGCAGGGCAGGGCGGGCAGGGGTCTCTCCATTTCACAGATGAGAAGCCTGAGGCCCAGTGCAGCTGGAGGGCACACCCAGGGTCAGGAAGCAGGACACAGCCCTGGGCTGGATCCAGCCCTCCCTGCCCCTCCGCTGCAGCTTGAGTTGCAACCTTTGACCCGTGGCTTCTCCACGGGGAGGAAGGAGCCGCCTCCGGCTACTGCCTGGCTGGCTTATGCCCCGCAGGTCACCGAGCTGCCTCCCCTGGTGGCGGAAGTAGGTTCCAGAAGGCTCACCACCCCGTGAACTTCAGAAAAGGCCAACGAGCCTCTGAAATAGCTGCTCTGCCACAAGCCCCAGAACCCAACCCGCCCTGGGGACAGCAACCCGAGAGCTCCGCAGGTCACAAGGCACTGTGTGGGGGCACGGGACAGCCCGGTCCCTCGCCCAGACCCCACCTGCCCAGCTGGAATCCCGGCCTGCCTCAGTGGCTCCTGCCTGAACCCCCAAGAAGGGGGGACACCGCCGTGGGCACCTCCTCAGGGCAGATGCACAGCGGGCCGCCCTCCTGAGCGCCTGGGAAGGGGGTGGGGCCATCCTGCTGGAGCGGGTCTGGGCCTTGCCCAGTCCAGGGCCGGCTCAAGGCTGGCCTGCGCGCAGCGTGCCTCCCAGCTGGCGGCTAGTGTCCAGCCAGGATGACCAAGGCCCGCCGGTCTGGGGTCCGGGAGAGAGAGACTAAGGCCCTAGGCCCTGAGTCCCGGCAGGAGGAGGTGGTGCTTCAGGTAACCAGGAAGGCTTCCCAGAGGGGGTGGCTTTGAGGTGAGCCTGGAAGGACAGAGGAAATTACCCAGCAGCGTTGAGGGGTCAGGCAGCGCCTCCTCCACCTCTTCCGAGCAGAGTGAAGGACCTCGTGTCTATCACTTATCATCTCAAAGTCTTGGTCTCTTCTGTGAAGTGGGGTAACACTTCAGGGTGGCCAGCTACCAAGAGGCAGGGCTCAAATGCGTCTTCCTCAGGGCCTGGGCACGAGGGCCTCTGCAAGGCCAGGGCCCCAGGGTGCTGGGAAAGCTGACCCTTCCAGCCGCCCTCTGCAGCCAGAGGCCCGCCTGGGTCTGGGTGCCTGGGGTCCCCACTCTAGGACCAGGAGCTGGCACCAGGCAGGGTCCAGGCAGAGCACCCTTTCCTGCCCAGCACACCCGCCGAGCCGGCTCCCTGTCCCCTGCAGGGCCAGGATGGACGAGGACTTCTCCTCCCAGATGAAGAAGATGGCCTTGGCCATGGGCACATCCCTGTCAGACAAGGACATAGACCTGCTGCCCACCGACATGAGGCACCATGGTACAGCCCGCCCCCGCCTGCCCTGGGCCAGCCCCACTGTGGACGCAGGAGCCCCCCCGGGCTGGGGGAGGGCACAGGACCCGGCAGCCCCCACCGCAGGGCAGGAGTCCCCCTCTGGGCCCAGGCCCTGGCAGTCCAGCCCCGAGGCGGATGGCCCTGGTGACACACCCGGCCATCCCCAGGCTCCTTCAACTACATCAAGTTCTTCGAGTACATGCAGAAGTTCCCGGCCTCGGGGCAGCAGGAGAGTGTCATCCGCAAGGCTTTCCAGACCCTGGACAAGGACAAGAGCGGCTTCATCGAGTGGAATGAGATCAAGTAACAGCCAATGGCCGGGGACAGGATGTCCTGAGCCCTGGGCCCCCTCCCTGGTGGTGGCTGGGGATGAGGGGGTACTGAGCCCTGGGCCCCCTCCCCGACCTACAGCCACCACGCTCACCCCAGAAGACCTGGTACCCCCACTGGGCTCCAGCAGGCCTTGTGGGAGATGGGGCCAGGCTAGAAACAGGGTCCAGGGGCACAGCACTGGGCCTAGGCCCAGAGACCCCTCTCCAGCTGGGCCTCAGTTTCCCCAGCTGTAAAGAGGGGAGCAGGTACCTTGTATACCATTGGGCACCAGCCAGATGCCCCCTCAGGCCTGACCCAAGCCCACCCCCGGCCCCAGGTACATCCTGCACATCATCCCCAGCAGCGGGCCCACCACCCCACTGACGGACGAGGAGGCTGAGGCCGTGATCCAAGCAGCCGACACGGATGGGGACGGGAGGATTGACTTTGAAGGTGGGGCAGCAGAGATGAGAGGGGCAGGGATATCTCTCAGGACTTTCCTGCCCCCCACTGCCCGTCACTCGCACTCAGTTTGCCCCATGTCCAGAGCCTGTCTCTGTGCAGGGCTGACCAGGCTCCCCACTGCCAGGCAGGGACCCCATCCCCCAAAGCTTACAGCCACCTGTGGTGGTCACCATCATCCCCGTTCACAGATGGAGAGGCTGAGTCTCCGGGATGCTGAGGGGGCTTGGGCATTTTACCAGGCCCAGGGGAGCTGCTGCAGGTTTCTGAGCAGGGGAGAGGTGGCCCAAGCCGGCTTTGGGGAAGGTCAAGGGGGCAGATTAGATGGGGGGTTTCCGAGATGGGGAGGAAGGTTTGAGGCAGAGACCAGGGCCTGAGGAGCTGCAGAGGTGGACGCAGGTGGAAGGAGGTCAGGTGGGCCAACAGCTGTGTGTGAGTTGAGCGGGCGGGAGGGGGTTGCCCAGGAGGAAAGGCATTTGTGGGGCAGGCCTTCCCTGAGGCTCCCCATGGCTGCCCTGGGGTCTGCATCATCCTGCTGCCCACCCACCCAGATGCTGACCCGAAGCCTGGAGGATGGCCCTGGGAACAGGCAAGCACAGGCTCAGAGCCCCAGACAGACTGGGGACCTGTCCTCAACCCCCAGGCCTCCACTTGCTGCCCGCAAATACCAGCAAACCTTGACTTGTGGGGTGGTCACAAGACTTAAAAGAGGGGCAGCCAGGCCAAGGGGTCTGTTTAGGATGCAGCCCCCCAGCCTCTCTGTGCCTCAGTTTCCCCACTGAAGGCATGATGACCACAGGAGCACCAGCTCAGAGACTGAGGGGAACTGCTGAGGGTTCATCGTAAGACCCAGGGTGGGTGAGCTCCCCACCGCCAATCTGGCCGGGCACGGGGCACACGACAACGGTGTGGGGCACTTGGGCAGCCAACTTCCGGTCCTTCCTGCTCCCCACCCAGGACTCAGGAGGGCAGGATGCAGGGCCCCCCTGGACGGCAAGGTGCCCTGTCATAACGGAGGCTTCCCGCTGGGCCTGCAGGGCTTGGTGGGGCACGAGCCAGGGGGTTATTTACTAGAAATCTGTCTCCTGTTCTAGAATTTTCTGAATTGATCAAAAAGGAGAACATTGCAAAGAAGAAGTAGCACCACGTCCAGCCCCAGCCGGCTGAGCATCCCCCAAGGGGCACCGTGGGTTTCGCGAGTGCCCCATGGAGGCCATGGGAGCGGACGCAGCTTGAGGCAGGAAAATGGAAGAAAAACAGCATTAAATGAACCGCAGCCCATGTGTTTGTTGGGTGTTGCAGCGTCAGCTGGGGCAGGGGCAGGGTCATGGGTCTCTGGGCGACAGGTGGCGGGCAGGGTGGCATGGGGGGGTGCAGGAGGGAAAATGGAAGACCGGGTGGTGGGTGCGTCCAGCCTCCTCTGCCCCTTCTTGTTCCTGCCTCACTGGGGGCACCCTCAGAGGGCAGTCCCCCCTCCAGCCCCGGCACCTCCTGGATCTGCCCTCCCAGCGTGGTGCTCTCTGGGCCCAGACCCCCCACCCCCCCCCCACACCCAGCCCCGGCCTCCACTGGGCTCTGCGCAGGCTGCTCACCAGGCTGGGTCTTAGGCCGCTTGGAGTCCACAGTGCAGGGACAGCTTCAGCCCCAGGGTGCCTCTGAGGGGTCCTGGCACCAGCCCTGCACCCTGCACTCCGGGCTGGACGTGTCCAGGGCTCAGATCTCTGCCGATATCTCCTCGCCTCCTCCTCCCGGTCTTTGAGAACCCTCCCTCTTTTTTTTTTTTTTTTTTTTTTGCGGTACATGGGCCTCTCACTGTTGGGGCCTCTCCCGTTGCGGAGCACAGGCTCCGGACGCGCAGGGTCAGCCGCCATGGCTCACGGGCCCAGCCGCTCCGCGGCACGTGGGATCTTCCCGGACCGGGGCACGAACCCGCATCCCCTGTGTCGGCAGGCGGACTCTCAACCACTGCACCACCAGGGAAGCCCCCACCTCCCTCTCTTTGAGGCCTCCTCCCCTTCTCCCCAAGCTCATCCTCCTGTAGGAGTCCTCCCCCACCCCACCCGCCTGCCCCAGCCTCTGCGCCAGCCACACTCGCCCACCCGGTGGGCTCCCTTCTTGTGCTTTAAGCACCTCTCTCCTGTACTCCAGACTCCTGTGCCCATTCTGGCTGCCTGACACCCCGCTTCATGTGATGGAGGCGTCTCAAGCTTAACGTGCCCAAGGCTGAGCTCCCGTCTTCCTCCCACAGCCCCACCCTCAGTCTTCCCATCTGTTAGCTGCGTCGTTCCTCTGCTGCTCAGGCCGGGAGCTCTGTGGTCACCATGCAGAGGGTGTGGATGAGCTTCCCACTCCATCCTGGGGACTGGTAGCCGGGAGAGCACTAGGCCCCCATCCCAGCCCCACGTGCACGCATCCACGTGCATGTGATGGGTTCCCTCCTCCAGCTGCCACGGGACTCCAGACTCTCTAGGATGGAGGGGCCAAAGGTGGCTGGATCACCCCAGGGTGAAGGCACCGCTCTCAGGAGCCCCCAGGCTGGGCTATTGCAGGAGCAGCAGCCTGCGAGCCAAGCTCACACACCATCCTCGGCTCCTCTCCCTTTCACACCCACCTGCAAGGTAATCCCACCAGCTCTGCCCTCAAAATGCATCCAGAGTCCCATTCCCCCACCATCTGGGCCACCACCAGCTCTTGCCCAGATGACCACCTTGGCCCCCAGACTGGCCTCCCTGCCTCTACCTTCCAACAGTGGGTTCTCAATATAACGGCCAGAGACGTCCTTTTAAAATACAAGTCAGACCCGTGGCTTCACTCGGAACTTTCCAGAGGCTCCCCTCTCATGCAGAAGAGCCAAGTCCTTGGGATACCCACATGCTCCCTGACTTTAGACCCTCCCACCCTTACTGCAGCCACACTGGCCACCCCACTGCTCCCCAGCCAGGAACCACCCTGCCCCAGGGCCTTTGCATGTTCCTGGGCCTGCTATGCTCTTCCCTAGACATCTGTCTGTGTGACTAACTCCCTCATCTCCTATATTTTCCTCAAATGTTACATCCCAAAGAGGTCAACCCTTCCGCCCTGTTTCACATTCCACTCTACCTTGCCCAGCATTCCGCATTCTCCTTAATCTATTCTCTCCATAGCACTAGCATCCCCTAATATACCATATGAGTTGCTTATTTATTGTTTATTATGAGCAAGCAAAGCATCAAGGACATGGGTTCTGAGATCCCAGAGAGGAAAACCCAAGAAGTGAGCCTGACATTGGCACAGGGTCCCTGCCAGGGTTTGCAACTGGTGGAGACGCTGAGTGGCTAAGGAGGGCGTCCGGCAGTCTCCTGGGTGTTCAGTACCTGCCAGGGAGGAGGGTCTTTGCTTGTGGGTCCTATGGGGCTAGGAGTGAGGAGGGAGGACAGGAGTATGAAGCCAGTCCTCACAGAGACTGGAGCCCAGCCTCAGCCAGCCTAGTCCTGTCCTAACTGCCACCAGAGCAAAAGTAATCCCTCTGGACCAGGGTCCAAATTCAGCTCAATGCAGACCACACCTGACTGTGCCCATTCGTCTACATATTGTCTGTGGCTGGTAGAGAAAAAGAGAAAGCTGGTGTGGCTGCTACTATCAGATGGAGGACACTTTAAGGCCAGAAGCTCTGCTAGGCAAAGAGGGACAGTCTGTAAAGATAAACAGTCAACTCACCAGGAAGACACACAGCTCTAAATTTGTATGCACCTACTAACATAGCCTCAGAGCATAAAGCAAAAATGGGCCAACTAAAATGAAAAAGAGATGATGCAGTCACAGTTGGAGATTTTAGCATTCTTCTCTTGGGAACTGATAGAGCAAGTAAGAAAGAAATCAAGGGTATAGAAGACTTAAAAACACACAATGGATTAACCAGAGGAGCTAGAAGGCCAAGGAGACCTTTCTTGGGAGGCTGGGGCCTAACAGATACCCTCACCCCTGTGTACGGTGCCACCCAGCCTACCCCAGGGAACAGGAATGGCGTCTCAGCCCCCCTTCTTTGGGGCACACCTGTGCAGGTGGAACAGTCCAGCGGGGCAGGCCTCCCACCCCACCCCCAGCATTGTAGCCTCTCAGGGACACGGTTTCACCAGCTGGGACGTGTGAGATGCCAACACAAGGCCCATGGGCAGTTCATGGGCACGACGGAGACCCAGGATGACACAAAGCTCCAAACCAGTTAATGTCAGGAGCAAATTATCTGTGACAACAAAAACTTGAATAAAATTAAAGCAAAGAGCTCAGATAATAGCAGAAGTGAAGGAGTATAAGGGATGCAGAGACTGGTACAGAAGGACACCCAACCTGTCCTTGTGAACAAATGAATGAATGGATGAATGGATGGATGGATGGATGGATGGATGGGTGGATGGATGGGTGGGTGGGGGTGGAGGGATGGATGGATGGATGGATGGATGGATGGGTGGATGAGTGGGTGGATGGATGGGTGGGTGGGTGGGTGGGTAGGTGTGTGGGTGGGTGGATGGATGGATAGGTGGATGGATGGATGGGTGGGTGGGTGGGTGGATGGGTGGGTGGGTGGATGGGTGGGTGGATGGATGGATGGATGGGTGGGTGGGTGGATGGGTGGATGGGTGGGTGGATGGGTGGATGGGTGGGTGGATGGGTGGGTGGATGGGTGGATGGGTGGATGGGTGGATGGATGGATGGGTGGGTGGGTGGATGAACAAACAAATGAACAGATGAATGGAAACCCGTAAACCAGGAGCTGGGGAGTCAGGCACCATCTCCCTGATTGGAAAGCCACCACCATCCATTCCTCTGCTTCTCTGGCTGTGCCACCATCTCTCCCTGAAAGTCACCCCAAGTACCTGTCTTCCCATCTGCTGAAAACCTTACTTGCAAAAATACCATAGTTTAGAAACTCCCAACAACAGCTTCAGGTAAAACTACATTTTGGGGGTGGATCAGAGCATCCAGAGGCTGCTTCTCCCCGATTTGGTCCCTGCCCTGCCCCCAGAGCCTCTGGCCTGGAGACCAGTGAGCAGCCAGCTTCCTCTGCTTCTGTGCAGCTCAGGGAGGGTCGAGCAGACCCAGCCTCTGAAGCCCGCAGCCTGCTGAGCTGGTGACCCACCGCCCCTCGCCTGGCAGAGCTCACTCCCAAGACCTTGCCCCTGGGGCCCAGCCACTCCCCACCTCTTTTCTGGGACTCAGGAGGAATGCCTCAAATGGCCAGCCTGGCTTTTAGAACAGCAGGCAGAGACAGCTGGTTGGCTGAAGTGGGTGGGGAGCTGGGAGGGGCTCTAGGCCCAGTGGGAAGGGCTCTAGGAGCAAAGCTGTCCCAAGGGGAGACAGGCGGGGGCCAGGAGCGCTGTGGGTGACTAAGCAAACCTCCTCCTCACCTTGAGCCCCAGGACTGGGAGCTCCAATTGGAGCTGGAGGGGCTGCAAGGCCTGCTCTCTGCCAGGTCATCTCATGGTGATGAGACAGCCCCGCAAGGGAGGGAACATGGATGGCACACATGTGCTCTGCCCAGGGACCAGGCCAGGCACTCCACCTAGGAGGGGTCAGGCCCAGAGCAGCCCTGCTCATCTCACTGCTGTATCCAGCTCTGGCCTGGGGTTCTGCGAGCAGTCAGCTCCGGCACGAAGGAAGGAGCCGTCCCGTGCAGATGAGGGAGCTGAGCCCCCAGTACCCCAAAGCAGGGGATGCGGGTGCCGGGAGGGCCTGCAGGTCAGCGCTACTGTGAGCTGCCTCAGGCCCACGGGGCGTCTGCCTATGCCCTCCTGGTTGTTGAGACTGAGAGTGACCGCTGCCGGGACTCACGCTAGCAAGAGGCCAAGCCCCAGGGCCTTTCAAGGGCGCAGGAGGGGCTCCACCTGCACTAGGGCCAGCCCTGCGCCTTCCCACAAGTAGGGTGGCGCCTGGGCCAGTAGGAGGGCTGTCCTGGCTAGCGCCGGCGCTCCCCAGCGACCTGGTCCCAGCACCCTCGGCCAGGGCAGCAGCAGCGACAGAATGCCTGGCGGGAGGGCAGCGGGGGAGAGTTCCCAGAGGGGGAGTGTCTCCTCCGCTGCCTTCCCGCTCCCCTGCCCAGACCTTCCAGGAGGGGCCTCCACCCTCCTCGTGGGCAGGGCCTGTCCAGTGCCCATTTCTCACAGGTTCCAGGTTGTCACCTCCAGGGGGTGTCCTGAGTGGGGGAAGGAAGGAGAGGCCCTCAGGGAGGCTGGCCAGTTCTCTAACCATGGAGGGGGCACACAGCAGCCTGTGCAGGGGTCGGGGAGGAGGCTCAGAGCTCCGCCCCCA